TCTCTATTGAGGTGGCCAAAGAGATCAGTAGTTATTTGGCAGCCTGTCTCACTCGGCTGCAGCAGGGAGACCCATCCACTTTGGCTGTGCTCTCAGACATTTTAAGATTTGTAGAAGAAGCACAGAACATTCCAGGGAAGCAATAAATCCTTGTGGGATGAATGAATGAAGTGTCTGATTTTTGGCTCATGCCGGCCCCGAGGAGGGAATCTGGAGAGTTAGGGGGCACAGAGGAATCTTCAAGCCTGGGGGTGGTGTTACAGTTTTTCCTTGGGAGCTCAAAATACTTCCTGTCTTTCCATTCATCATTCCCCCCAGCCTGGTGGTTGCCTTCTGCCTTCACAATACCACTCTTTGGGGGATGGAACAGCAGGCTGATAGACTCATGGAATCTCAGGTAATCAGTACTGGGAAGGCCTCTACAGAGAGTCCAGTTCAACCTCCTCTGCACAGAGATGGTGAAAGTGAGGCTGGAGTAGAAGGAGGCTGGCAAGTTTCCTAGAGTCACCCAGGGAGTCCCTGTTGGAAGGCGGTGCAGGCAGATGGGGAGGACCACATTGGATGGTGTGAGTGCCGGCAGCCTCTACTTGTGGGGACAGCTGGCTCACCCTGTTTACAAGATCTCTAGGTTAGCCCCATCCAGCACCACCACCCAACAGCCCTGCAGAAACGCAACACTCTGGGCTCAGTGACCCTGGCAGAGTTCTCCTCCCCCAGGGCCCGCTGGAGAACCCTGGCAAGGGAGTGTGGGAAAGCCCTCCATCCTGGGGTGCGATTTCAAGGCTGGCACAGGGAGGGGCCTCCAGCTCAGGCTCCTCTTCTGGCTTTGCGCCTGCTGTGTGACTCTGGGCCTCAGTTTCCCCATTTGTGAAATGATGGCACCCAGCTGGATTCTGAAGCTGCTGATCTCTCATGCTGCTGTGTATCTGAATGTCTTAGCAGGGAGGAGTCTGCACTCGCCTTCAGCATTTCCTGCCTTGGCACACGCCAAGCCCCCTATCTAATCCTGGGGTCCCAGGCCTGCCCTCCAGGGAGAAATTGCTGTGATTTAAGGTTCCAGATTTCCTGAGCCATTAGTGTCATGATACTTTATACCTGGGCCTTGATGGCTTTTTAATTAAAAACGAATCCCTCCCAATCCCTGGTTTTATGTCCGTCTCCGGGAGCCTGTGGAGGTGCCCTGCTCCGCCTGATGCTTTGCGTATCCTTGGTTTCTGCTCTTCTGTTTCCTCCCTTGGGTCCCCAACTCCCCTTGTTTTAGGAAGAGAAGGGTCTGGGATTCTTTATGGACTCCTTCTTTGTGTTAGGTGCTGAGGCCCCAAAGTGCACACCACGGATGCTCAGCACCACAAATGTTAAGGTCTCTGTGTAGGATAGAAGAAAGGGATGGCCCCAAACCAGTTCTATTACTGGCACCCACCTCTAGCCCAAGCATGAAAGGAGGCAGGGACTGGAAGGAGAGGTCTGGTGTGCAAGGACTGTCCCCTTCCTGGCAAGTCCTGGATTTGGAGGCAGAGGGACAGGTATCTGATTTGCACTTGAAACACCATCTGGAGGCTGGAAGCTGGAGGGAGAGAAGAGGGGGCTGCAGGGGCAAACCCTTTCTGCCAGAGTTTGGCAGGCAAAAGCCAAGTTTCCTGTGAGTCAAAGTAGACACTCTGGAATGGAGTGGGGCTCAAACCATGCAGCAAGGACCAGTCGGAGGAGTCTGCTGCTTGCCAGGATCAGGGAATCCCAACAGAAAGCATCTGTGTGGGGCTGAAGGGAAGACTGAAGACCTCAGGTGGGCTTGAGGGCGGGGCTGGGGAAGTCAGCAGCAGGAAGAGGAGGCGTGCCCAGGCCGATGAATTGTGGGTTGGAGGTTCTTAGCAAAAAGGGGTCACTGAAGAGTCCACAGGACACAGGACACCCCAGAGACAGAAGGCTGGCATTTGGACACTGACACCCTGAGAGGACTCCCCTATCCTGGATTCAGCAGTTCCAGGTAAGACCCTACTGGTGTTCCACACTGCCCTCCACTCCTCATTCTAGGCCTGACTGTGGGCAGAGGGCAGCATAGAGGAGTGGAAGGAGGGAAGAGAGGAAGAAACTGAGCCCCTCCCCACCCAGCAATGGAAGCAGGGAATGGGCCTGAGCTGGGGGAGGCGGAACTTTGAATTGGGCATGAGATTAAGCTCCCGGAGTCAGACTAGGTGCACCTGTGACCAGCTGAAGATGAGCCTGTTCCTTAATACTGAACACAGAGCAGGGAGATGCGGGTCCACCCTAGGTCCTTTCTTTTTTCTTTTTTCTTTTTTGTTTTGAGATGTAGTCTCACTGTCTCAGGCTGGAGTGCAGTGGCACAATCTCGACTCACTGCAACCTCCACCTCCTGGGTTCAAGCGATTCTTCTGCTTCAGCCTTCCGAGTAGCTGGGATTACAGGTGTGCGTCACCATGCCCAGCTAATTTTTGTACTTTTAGTAGAGATGGGGTTTCACCATGTTAGCCAGGCTGGTCTCGAACTCCTGACCTCGTGATCCGCCCGCCTCGGCCCCCCAAAGTGCTGGGATTACAGGCGTGAGCCACCACGCCTGGCCCTAGATCCTTTTCAGGGGTGGGGAGGGAGATCCAATAGGGCAGGTTTGAAAGATGGTAGTGAGCAAGCACAGTGGCTCACACCTGTAATCCCAGTACTTTGGGAGGCCGAGGAGGGTGGATCATCTGAGGTCAGGAGTTCGAGACCAGCCTGGCCAACATGGTGAAACCCCATCTCTACTAAAAATCAAAAATTAGATGGGCGTGGTGGCGCACACCTATAGTCCCAGCTATTCAGGAGACTGAGGGAAGAGAATCGCTTGAACCCTGGAGGCAGAGGCTGCAGTGAGCTGAGATAGTGCCATTGCACTCCAACCTGGGGAACAAAGCGAGATTCTGTCTCAAAAAAAAAGAAAGACGGTAGTGAAAAAGATTTTTACTTGCATGCCACAAAAAGTTTTTCACTTGCATGCCACTGATTCGGCCTGTTCCGTATACCAGTTACACACACACTATTTCATTGAATCTCACAGTCACCGGTTTTATCATTTCAAGTTACAGATGAAAAAAATGAAGGTTGAGAAAAATTCAGTGACTTGCCCAGGGTTCCTTGATTCAGCATCTGAATGGATTCCAGCGTCTGAGCAGAAATCCTTCTAGCCTAATGCTTTTTCTCAACCCCTGGAGATTCTAATTCAGGAGCTCGGGAATGGAACCAAGGAATCTGCATTTTCACAAGTGTCTAGGAGACTCTGGCACAGGTAGGTGGTCCAGGGAGCATGTCCTAGGAAGCACCACCCTCACCTTGATGCCTTTATGGTGAGAATAACATTGTAGGTGACAGGGTCGGCTCCAGAGTGCCCAGGCATGAGGGCACTGTACCACCAGGGAAATCTGTGCACCTCAGCAGGCAGGGCCCTGGGGTTCCTTCCTTCAGTTCTGTGAGCTCCTAGGCTGCTCACTTCTCCTCCGCCTCCCAGGCTCAGCCACCTCATCTGAAAATGGCAATGATAGTGGGTGTGGAGGCTGGGCATGGTGGCTCACTCCTGTAATCCCAGCACTATGGGAGGCCGAGGTGGGCAGATCATCTGAGGTCAGGAGTTCGAGACCAGCCTGACCAATATGATGAAACCCAGTCTCTACTAAAAATACAAAAATTAGCCAGGTGTGATAGCATGCACCTTTAATCCCAGCTACTCAGGAGGCTGAGACAGGAGAATCGCTTGAACCTGGGAAGCAGAGGTTGCAGTGAGCCGAGATCGTGCCATTGCACTCCAGCCTGGAAAACAAGAATGAAACTCCATCTCAAAAAAAAAAAAAAAAAGAGATAGTGTGTGTGCAATGTTTGCAGAGCACATTTGCACTTGGGCTTTGTAGATGTCCAGCCTGGAGGACACTCCTCTTGTCCCACGTTTTCTGTGCCTTCCAGTCCCCATTCATGTCTCGTGAATGAATGCATAGCATGTGCCAAGAATGATCATTGCGGGGGCTCTAGAACCAGACTTGGCAAGTTTGAATTCCAGCTCAACTACTCCTTAATTGTGTACCTTTGGGGCAAGTTATTTCTCTCTGTGCCTCAGCATCCTCATCTGTAACATGGGATATTGTTGGCACCTATGTCACAGATAGTGGTGAGGATGACTTGGATTTGTTTCTGTAACTCAACTGTGTGTAACGTGCAATATGTGGAGGCTCGCCCTCCATAAATGCTAGCTATTCCTATCGCTATTATGGATATTAGTAGTAATAGTGTTACTTGTGAGACTGAAGCATGCCAGCTCCTCAGGGAAGGGGGACTTGGAGGAAATGATCGGTCTACCTGGGGCCAGATCAAAGCTCGGGGGTTGCCAGGTATGGCTAGAGGACAACAAAGCAGATGTTTCCGTTGGAAGTTCCTTAACAATCAAGGAACAAGAAAGAATGTAGGGTCGGGAGTGGTGGCTCATGCCTGTAATCCCAGCACTTTGGGAAGCTGAGGCGGGCGGATCACCTGAGGTTAGGAGTTCGAGACCAGCCTGACCAACATGGAGAAACACAGTCTCTACTAAAAATACAAAATTAGCTGGGTGTGGTAGCACATGCCTGTAATCCCAGCTACTCGGGAGGCTGAGGCAGGAGAATTGCTTGAACCCAGGAGACGGAGGTTATGGTGAGCCAAGATTGGGCCACTGCACTCCAGTCTAGGCAACAAGAGCGAAACTCCGTCTCAAAAAAAAAAAAAAAGGAAAGAATGTAGCTGGGTTGGGAAAGGCCCCAGAGAGAACTGGGACATGGCGACAATAGGATGTGCCCATCTGTTGGGTCCATGGTTGATGCCATCATACCTGAGGGGCAAAGCAGGGAGAAAATCATAGCACCCGTTGGGGACCTTTCTCGCCCAGTCCCCACAGGAGCCGCATGCAGTAGAAATAGCTGCTCTGCATCTCAGTGCACAGATGAGGTGATTGGGACTCACTTGCTTCAGGTCACAGGGCGGGTGGCAGAAGCAGGATTCAAGCTGGGGATGACTCTAAACCTGTGCCTATAACCATGGCCCTCCTGGGAAGGGAAGCAGAGGGAGGCTGCAGTTCTCCAGCGGCCCCCGCCACACCTCTGTGAGAGCCATACGGGTGGGCGGCGCGGCCACTCCTTCAGCCCATCCAGCGCCTGGGCCCTGGCTGGGTTGATACATTATTTCCTTGGAAAGCCGGAAGCTGCTAAGAATCACTGCAGGTAGAATCCCTCTCTGGGTCCTCTGATGGCCCCATCCGTGGTGACAGCCATTCCCTGCCTCTCTCAGGCTGCAGGGGCAGCAGGGTAGGCAGAGGGCGTTATCTCGGCAGCCCAGTCCCATGGGCCTGGCAGCTTGTCCTTTGGTTTTGAGGCCCAGTGCTCTCCAGCGAGCTCAGGGTTCCCTGGGTCAGGGGATCCCCAGAGGTCTCAGGACCTGGAAACCATCTAGAGCAACTTTATGGTGCTGCTGGGTTCGCAGGGCCCATAAAACACATTGAGTTTGAAGCCCTCAGTTTCCATGTCTCCCAGGCACAAAATGAGCGGAGCAGGAGCTGGGCACAGGGTTTTGTGGGGCAGCTCCCACGCTCAGGCCTGCTGTGGGTTGGGGGTTGAGACTGGGGAACCTGAGAGCCAGCCAGGAAACAGGCACCTGCCAGGCGTCCTGCCAGTCCTCACAGCCCGTGAATCAGGTGCAGAGGATCATTCCTTTCTAAATAACATTTTTTGGTTTGTTTTGAGTTTGTAAAATCATGCTATATTCTTATTCTACAGAACATGAAACTGAGACTCAGAGAGGTGAAGTGACTTGAAGAACAAGGTGGCCCTGGAGACAAGAAAGAGGAGGAGAAAGAAATGACCCAGGCCGGGCTGTTCTGGGGACCACCCCCATCCCAGCTACAGGGGGAGGCTCTTGTACCTAAGAAATTGTATCCATCACTGAGGTCCCCCACCTCCAGCCTTTATATGAAAGAAATAAAGTAAACATGTTTTTAGGCTGCAACGTGGGGGAATTTTGCATCAAAACACCCTTGACTGCAGACAGGTCAGGGGAGGGCACCAAGGGGATCCACCCTTCATGCAGCCACGCCATGAGCTGGTGGCAGGCTGGCCTGGGCCCATGGGGCCAGCAGGGAGTGGGAGCTGGTGTCTGGTGTGGAGGTCAGAGGCTGGCCCCCCGGCCCAGCAGAGGGGTACTTGTCAGCTGGCTAGATCGCCGGCCTGCAAGCACATCGCTTCTCCTAATGCAAGTCATTTCTGGGCCAGGCGGCTTTGTGGGAAGAAGCTCAGACCAGAGATACCAGCTCCTCAGGAGGGAATCCTGGCTGCAGCAGTCCTGACCAATAGCCCTCCAGGAAGTGATTTTTCCACCCCTGCCTTGATGGGGCACATGCTCCCTCCTCCCAGGGTAACCTCATGTGGGGCCCATCTGCCTGGGAGAAGATGCTTCCAGACACTGGTTCAAACGTCTGACTTCCTGTGCCTCCTTTCTGTTGATCCTCACTTTGCCCTCTGGGACCCCACTCATTCATTTGTTCATGTTTTCCTTCAGCAAATACTGAGTCCAGTGTGGGTGGAGCCTGTGTCTGCCACTCCCTCTGCCCAGGCAGCCCCTCTGTGACAGGAGTGCTCTGTGTCCTCTGGAGGCTGCCTCCACTCTTGGTCCGTTCTTTCTCTGCTCCCACCTTCCTACAACCTGGCTGCCGTCTGAACAGTCAGCAAGACCTGTAGGAGGCCGTGGTCAGAGAGCAGGGCCAGAGCCCCCAGCTGGGTGTGAGGGCCTGGTTTGCAGGCCCAGCTCTGCCTCTGCTTTCTGCACCCCTCTGTGGTCTTGTCTGTAAAATGGGAATTCAAAGCAGATGGTCTTGAGGCTCATCGCTCTTTACCCCTTAAGGCTCTGTGCAAAGGCCACCTCTGGCCCTCTGACCCCAGCTCAGATTCTTCCAGTCTCTGCTCTGAGAACGGCTACCTCATCTTGGCATTGACTGTGTAGGAGGCAAACCTGCCCTGGCAGATCCCTGAAGATTTATCATGTACCCCAGCCCCAACACTGGGCTGGGCACAGAGGAAGGTTTGGGTAACATGGGCCTGAACCGAGAGGTGGGTGGCAACAGGCAGAACAAGAACACCCACTTCCAGGGTGGGTGGTGGGGCTTAAACTCCAACCACGGCTTATGATCTGTGACCTTGAGCAAGTTTTTAACTTCCCTGGGCCTCAGTTTCCTCACCTATAAAGTGGGGATAACACTCCAGAGGAAATTAAATTATATTTTCTTTCTTTATTTTTGAGACAGGGTCTCACTCTGTGACCCAGCCTGGAGTGCAATGGCACGTTTGTAGCTCACTGCAGCCTCCAACTCCTGGGCTCAAGCCGATCCTTTCATCTCAGCCTCCTGAGTAGCTGGGACTACAGGCATAAGCCACCATGCCTAGTTAATTTTTTGATTTTTTGTGGAGACAGGATCTTGCTGTGTTGCCCAAGCTAGTCTCAAACTCTTGACCTCAAGCAATTCTCCCAACTGAGCCTCCCAAAGTGCTGGGATTACAAGTGTAAGCCACAGAGTCCTGTTGGTGGTTACATTATATAAATATGTTTCATGTATTGTAGATGCTCAGTAAGCAGCTATTGTGTTATTTCATTTTGCCCATATAAGGCCAGGGGGTTCTCCATCTTACAGAGGTATCTGTGCGTTCTATGGGAGTATGCCCACAGATTGCAATTGTATTCAACTCACCTGTGTGCCCAGCCTTTCCACCAGGCTCCTAACCATGCACAACAGGCTTCAAGGACTCCGTAGGATGGTGTTCCACAGTGGGTAGGCATATGCAAACCTGTCCCCAGTGTCCGAGGAAACCGAGAGGCTAAAGCTGGCAAATTCAGTTTCTTAGAAAAATGTAATAGGGTCTGACAAACGGAAGCCATTGTGGTGTCTCGGGTGGCAGTGAGACAAGATGGTGGATCCCTGCACCGTTATCCCCCAAAGACCCAGGCTTATATACCATAGGGAAAGGGCATCTGTGATTCAGAAGGGATGTGTAGGACAATCGAAGTACCATAACATCAAGGTTGTTTTGGCCTAAGGGCAGGATTTACAGTAAGTGTGCACTCTTACATGAGGAACAATGGAGAAACTGGAAATCTTAGAGGCCTTCCCAGAACAGGGGTTAATCAAAAGTCAACATGGTGTATCAGCATCTGAGATGGAGTTGCTTTAGCCTGCACAGGTGGGGAGCCAAGCAGCTGTGTGGCCAGCATCTGGCTGGTGGAGGCAGACAGGCCTTGGAACACTCTGTTGTTAGAGACTTGGTGGCTGGCACGGGCAGGCTTAGTGGGGCCAGGCTGCCTATCAAAGGTAGGGCAGGCTTGATTGCTTCCCTCGACCCTCCAGGCCTGGCCCAATTAAAGGTTCTGCCCCACTAGACTTGGAGCCCCAGGGTTGAGGAACTTGTGGGAGAGAGGAGGTCTCAGCTTGGGACAGGCTCTGCACCCAGAGGCCCCTCCCCTTCACAGCCAGTTTAGTTCATTTTCCAGCCCTTTCCTGAGCACCTACTGTGTGGCAGGCCTGCCTGGAGGCTTTGCCCATTATCTCACTGACCACTGACTTGCAAGCTAACGATCATTGTTCCTTTTTTTTAAAAAAATATTTTTATTTTATTTTATTTTTATTTTATTTTATTATTTTATGTTATTTTATTGAGAGAGAGAGCCTCATTCTGTTGCCCAGGCTGGAGTGCAGTGGTGTGATCTTCGCTCACTGCAACCTCTGCCTCCTGGATTCAAGCAATTCTCCAGCCTCAGCCTCCCGAGTAGCTGGGATTACAGGCACCCACCATCATGCCTGGCTAATTTTTGTATTTTTGTAAAGAAGGGGTTTCACCATGTTGGCCAGGCTTGTCTTGAGCTCCTGACCTCAGGTGATCCCCCCCCACCATTGGCCTCCCAAAGCGCTGAGATTACAGGTGTGAGCCACTGTGCCCGGCCCATTGTTTCTGTTTTAGAGATGAGGCTCAGAGAGGGGAAGTGACTTGCCCAATGTCACACAATTGGTAGGCAGCAGGGCCAAAATTTGAACCTGAGTGTGTGTGATTCCAGAGCCCAGGTGGGCTCTGCCACACATCCTTAGTGATAGGTTACCACACAGGACATCCTTTCTTTCCTCCTCCCTTTCTGCCTTCCTGCTCTCTGTAAACACGTAGTAAAAACTTGAACTATCTGGGGAGTTGCTGGACACACAGACCCCTGCCATGGAGGAGCTCATCTTCTAGTGGGGAAAACAGACAGGAGCTGAGAATTATTCTGTGAGACACAGAAAGCAAGAGAATTGTGGGAAGGGCTGGGCTAAGGGAGAGCACATGTTTGGAGAATCTTCCATTCAACAAACTTTTATTAAACCCTTAGATTAATTTATTTCTTGCTTGCCTCATTCCAAAAGGGAGGTAGCACACAGACATATATAGAACACAACCAGTTTTTAAAAGGAGAAGAGACAATCAGGGCAAAAAATAAAATAATAAAATAAAATAACTAGGGACCGGGTGTGGTGGCTCATGCCTGTAATCCCAGCACTTTGGGAGGTCGAGGCAGGTGGATCACTTGAGGCCAGGAGTTCGAGACCAGACTACACAACATGGTGAAACCCCATATCTACAAAAAAAAAAAAAAAAAAAAAATTAGCCAGGTGAGGTGGTGTGCACCTGTAATCTCAGCTACTTGGGAGGCTGAGGCACAGGAATCATTTGAACCCAGGAGGTGGAGGTGGCAGTGAGCTGAGATCGTGCCACTGTATTCCAGCCTAGGTAATAGAGCAAAACTCTGTCTCAAAAAATAAATAAAATAAAATAAAATAAGTAACAAGGATGCAAGAGGTAAGGTTAGCTCACAAAACACCTGCTGAGAGGTTCTCTAAACGTTAGCCTTGAACACAGCTCTGAGCTTTCCAGAACCTCGCAAGACTAGAAGCACAGCACTGGTTTCTATCTGGTTCATAGCATTGCATCTTGCTTTCCAAGAGACTCTTAGGCAGAACCCCAATTCATCTATCAGATACAAGGGAAAGCACACTGGTTGAAGGGAAGGGAGGAATGCTTGGAGTCCCATCTGTTCACCTTCCCTTGACCATCTTGGCTGCTCCCAGCCCCTCTGAGGATCCTGAGGGCTCAGTTTAAAATCACCAAGCTATGCTCTTCTTTGTCCATCAGATAAAAAGTGAAGGAAGCTAGGGGAAACCCAGATGTTGCTGACGCTGAGCCTGATTGCGCGTGGGCTTGAGTTCCTACTTCACGCCAGGATCCTGCTGGGCACTGGGGACTCAGATGAGTCAGGCATGTCCTTGCCAGGCCTGATGGTTAACACTGTAGAGAACCCTAGCTAATACACCAGGGATCCTCCCTCTTTGGTGGGAGAGATAGGAACATTGGCTGGCTGAGTTGTTCTTGCATGTGCCCCTGTATCTGGCTCCATGTGTCTGTTTATCTAATTGCAAAATGGGGAGGGGACGTTGGGTTCCACTGTGGGAGGAGGGGGAAAACTTGGACTGGAGTCCTGGCTAGATTAATAGGGCCAAGTCAGAAATTTCCAACACTATTGAGCACTTACTATGTGTTAGGCAGGATTGGATCCAGTTTTGGGGGACCCTGAAACTTGTAATTCTGGGTATCCTCTTTAAGAAGAAAAATATATGCCAGGCACAGTGCACGACCATAATCCCAGTACTTTGGGAGGCTGAGGTGAGAGGATTGCTTGTGCCCAGAGTTCAAGACCAACCTGGGCAACATAGTGGGACCCCATCTCCACAAACAAAAATTAAAACATTAGCCAAGCAGGGTGGCATGTGCCTGTAGTCCCAGCTGCACAGGAGGCTGAGGCAGGAGGATTGCTTGAGTTTGAGGCTGCAGTGAGCTAGGATCATACCACTGAACTCCAGCCTGGGAAAAAAAATAAAAACATAAAAAGAAAAGAAAAGAGAAATCGAATTAAAAATGACAAAATCAAGTACAAAAGTG